TTCGTGGTGTAACGAACACTCGGAGCGTTTTCGAGAGGTCCAGGTTCGAGTTCCGTGAGGGCATTGCTCATTTTTCATCTCTCCTGCTTCAAAAAATCCTAATGTCTCTATAGTGGCTTCCGAACTGAAAGCTGTCGATAGTGATTTTCTCGGTTGGATCCCCTAATACCTTGTCGCTCTTTAAAAGGGAGATTGTATAAGGTATTTTCTCCCTCCTTTCTGCATGGCTTCATGGTGTGACGGTAGCCAGCGTCTAGAAGTAGCTTTCAGGAGCTACTGCCAACGCACTAAATGAATTAGACGTTAATTTATCTACAGGTATTTGTGAGAATAACTAAGTCTCAGAATATTACAACTTGACAACATTTAGGATCCTTTCTTTATCTTTCACGCGACTTCTGGTATAGCTCATTCTCAGACTACTGACATGGTCAAAGCATAAAGTCTTTATTTTTAAAACTTTTAGCAGTCTCCTACTGTTTGAACGTAGTTGGAAATTACTGTAAATATTTTTTATTTAAATCTACGTTGATGCAGCTCTAGTTCAAGTTATAACCTTATAGCCATTAGATTTCAATAGTAAAGTGACTGCCCATAGATATTACATTTTACCCGAGTAGTGGCGGAATAGATGAGACTGCTTTTTGAATAGTGGTAGCTGAATTCGAGATGAAATCTCACCGTGCTTGCGTGCTTGAGTATCTTCGTGTTTTCCGATGTGAACATGAATTAGAATCAATCATCTATCGAACGTTCTCAGAAACACGTTATTCCCCTTAGACATTTTGCCCCATTCAGTTAAATAAACAGTTAACGTTTAAATCCCATTAACACTTTTAAATATATTTATATTTACCTGAAATAGTTTCTATGCATGCACTCTCCTGTATCGAAATATATTTGAAACATTCGTTCAGCATATTTTTGTATTTAATAAACGCATATTTCATAATTAGTACCGTTACTTCAAACTAGAATACACACTAAATATGGGCATTTGGAAGCCGTCATTTTGAATTTCGAATTTGGTTTATTATCTGTTAAATATTTTCATATTTTGCGAATTTTGATTAAAAAGCTCAACAATTTCAAAGAGATCAATGGCAACACTGTACGCAACAAAACACTTTTATCTCGAGCGCTTGAGACTGTTTATCGAAAAACGCCCCATTGGCATGTTATAAAACCTGAAAGTTTTCAATTTTTTTGATACAAAATCTATAGTTACTTTCGTTTAATAATATTAAGCTTTTTTTATTTTACCTGAAACTGCGGAAAATAGTTCTTGCAGGTAGGCTGTGTTCTATGTAAATTATGCATCGTAATAATAAATAAATTTTATAACTATTTACAAAAATATATGCTGCATTTAATGAAAAAAACTAGTCAATAATTAACATTATTGCTATAAATTTTAAACTAAGCAATTAAGCACGATGTTTGCAGATGGAAACTAGAGCCAGTTTTCTGCCATCGAAAGTTAACAAGAGATTCAGCTGCGTAAGATTTTTCAGCCTTATTTCTGTTCCCTTTATTGAAATGGGATGGGAAATGAAGTCCTCCATGAAGGCATCACATTTCATAGGCACGCATCCTTTGTATGCTTTACCAATATCCAAATAATTCAAATCCGTATGTCTATCGGAAAATCATTAGAGCAGATTTCTGCTTAAGTGCTTATTGCTTGTTATAAATTATTTCTATGTAACTGCATATTGCTGCTTATTGTTTTTTATGAATACATATTTCTATGTGTAGTGTAACCTGATTAGAATTATAATGTAATTTCAAACATGTAATCTAATGGCAATTGAACTGTAACTGAAACTACAATTTGCTCAAAAATGGATCAAGACATCACAAAATTAGTGTTAATTAATAAATAAATTGTAGAGACATTAGGGTATTTAGAAGCAGAAGATGTGAAAAATGAGCAACGCCTTCACAGGGAATCGTACCACGGACCTCTGGAATACGCGCCCAGGGTGCAGACCATTACACCACGCTAAGAAGGCGGGAGAAATACCTTATATACCCCCTTTTAAATGGCGACTGGGGTTAGGGGACCCAATCGCCAAATCCTGGGTGTGGAAAATCATCATCTACTACCCTTTTATTTCGGGCGCCACTGTAGAGACATTAGGATATCTAGGTAGATGCAGGAGATGTGAGAAATGAGGAACGCCTTCCCCGGGAGTCGAACCACGGACCTGTGAATACGCGCCCAGCGTGTATACCGCTACACCACGAAGGCCCGCTAAGAAGGCGAGAAAAATACCATATAAGCTAATGAAGAATAAATTGCAAATGTATTCCGAAGAAATAGCTAATATTAAAACATTTTGCAGACTTAACTAGTATTCAATGAGAAAATAAAGCTGAAAAGGAATCAACGCAAATTTTCAGCAGTTTTTTTTACTTCCTTGTACGAAGTAAAGGATATAGTATTATAATCACGAAAAATTCCGGCAATCATATTGCAAGGAAAATATATCCATTTTGACCGCTATCGAATCCTTTTGCGTGACATCTGTACATAAAGACAAAATAAAGGATCCTTTTTCCCCAAACAACTTATAAAACTGATTTAAAACGGATTCAGAAGAGATTTTTACGTGTGTATGTATGTATATTGCATAACTCAAAAACGCGTAGCCTCTGAAGTGAAATTTTGTATACAGGACTACTATAACATGTAGTTGTGCACTTCACTTTTTGGTTGCGATCGACCCTACCAAACTTATATACATATCCCACTCTCTTAGTCTTTAGATTACTGATTAGGTTTTTTTTTCCTTAGCCTACATGCAATAGTTTTAGAATTATAAAAAAATTAAAAGTTGTTTAAGTGGGACTAAGCCAAATTTTTCTTACTCTAGCAGCCATATTTGTGTACATTTGAAACTTAGCAGAATAGTGAATTAAGTCTTTCTGCACCTTCAGTGTCTTTTTGCCGAGTGAGACCAAAAGGAAACTTAGTTTTTCGTGTACCAAAAAATCTGCCTTCTTGCATGCCGGCGGAATTGCTTGTTGTAACTCTAATTTTAAGAGTGCAAATTGTTTTTTAATTGTTTTAACTGTATTTGGTGTTTCATAGTTTTCTATATCTTTCAATTTTAATGAAGATATTTGAGTTTTTACGTATTTTTGCCTTGCGGCGAAACGAGTGCTGAATTAATTGAATGATAATATCTCTCATGAAATTCGAGGAAATAAGTGTTTCGTATTAGCAGTAAATATTGTCGCCAGTCTATCTTGGACAGAGTATACTGTTTACGATAGTAGCACATGCGCATTAGGAAGCAGAGCTGAATCGTTATTTCTTTTATAAATCGTTTTAGATTTATTAAAGTATTTAAATAGAACATATGGCAACGATTAGATAATTATTCAGATGATATAAATTTTGAGCATTCCGAGTTATAAAATGAATAAGACGTAACCCTGTTAAGTGAACCTAGTGCCAGAGTGTCGCTATGGGAAATAAATTTTGAAAATTTTAAAAGAGCACATTTATTCTATTGTGGTTTATGCGCTATCGACGAAGTTGATTTAATTCAATCCAATAAGTTTAAATGAAATGCGTGTAATTTAATATTCCGTAAAAGGAAGTCATGTTGTGTACACATCAGGTTTTTTCATATAAACGGAACACTAGGACCGGGTGCCAGTGTGAAAATATTTAGTTATATTGTGTTACGTAATCATACAGAACTCCTGCATATCATTAGAAAAATCTACCTGTTTTTAGAAAATGAATTGGGCTTTAGATGATTGAAAAGAGTAAAATTCAAAGTGGATGCTGAAGCACTTAAAACGCAGATGATGAGAAAATGTAAGAAAATAAAAAGAAAGCTCATCGCTGTTGGGTTATATTAACAACAAAAAATAAGCAGGCTTATTCTTTCGTTAAACAAATCAAGTATCTAAAACATCTGCCGATAACATTTTAACTTATAAATATATCTGTTTGTTGCTTTTCCTGTCACATCTCAAGTTACTTTAACGATAAAGTTGTAAAATATATATTTTTATTATTAGATATAAACGTTTATAAATTCGCAAAGTGCTTATTTAAAGACTAAAAATTCCGAAGGATGTTTTCATTCTAGGTATCTTTCTAATACATTCAAAACTTCTACTTGAAAAATATTAAGAAGTAATTAAAGTTGTTAAAATATTATGAAGTAATTAAATTCGAATCACATTCAAGCAAAAAAAAAATTAAAAGTTAAAATATTCTATATAATAGTGTTTTTAATAACTGGCAAAATTCCACCAATTTTCAACCTTTATATTCATATGAAGTATCAGCACAGTTCCAGAGCCAAACTGATATATATGTTAAAATCCTTTAATTATTCTCATTTAGATTCAACGTCTTACATATCCTGAATTTGAAAGTTATTCTAGTTCATTCTGTAATGTCTCTTTGATTTGAATTTATATTTCCTGTAAAATTCGCGCTTTCACATTCCTGTGTTGCCAATAAAATGAGACTTAAGTATCTCGTTTCTGGCGAATAGATAACTAAATCGGTAATTGAACCAAATCGCAAACTGATTTCTGAATATGCAGTAACCTGATCCATGGCATTAAAATATCAAAGCCTATATCTAAGATATCGTAATTTCTGCTTCATTCCGAGTTGCAGTTATTGGATTGAACTTACTTTCATTTTGCCTCTGGTTAGTATAATTTTCAGTATAATCTGATTCGCACTGCCATTCACACGAATTGTTTTGATAAAACACAATTTTTCTTTCTCAAAAAATATGTTTCTCTTCCTCGAAATTCAATCAACGTTCCATAAAAATCATTAAATATGTAGTTATTGCATTAAAACTATAAAAAATGTTTTACTGAAGCAAATACTGTGTTACATTTAATGTTACAAAACCATCGCAGCGTAACCTTTCACCTAAGGAATAATATTAAAAAATAATACATTAATAAAAGCATGATAAATGGAAAATAATATGCTTCTCTTTTTCCTTTAGGTTTTCTACCTGCTGTGGATAGATCTGCAAGAGGCAACTATGGCCTTATGGACCAAGTAGCAGCATTGCATTGGATCCAAGAGAACATAGGCGAATTCGGAGGAGACGTGGAAAATGTGACTATTTTTGGCCATGGACATGGAGCTGCTTGTGTTAATCTTCTCATGCTGTCCCCAATGGCTAAAGGTAAAACAAATTTTATAAAATATATTACAGCAGAGATGATAAAATGCAATAAATAAATATTTGTCGGTAATCTTTTAAAAACTAAGCAAATTTTATAAAATATATTGCAACACAGATGAGAAAAATGCAGTAGTTAAAAGTTTGTTGGTAACCGTTTAAAAACTGCAAATCAATAAATTCGAGTAAAAATACAAAGATATTTATAAACCTTATAATAAAGAAATGTGAAGTCGGACGGAATGCAATGAATAATAAATTTTCACTTAAATTTACGGAGCATGAACGTGAAAAATCTCTGTAAAACATAATTTTTGTATAAAAGAACAATATTTGTTAAAATACGTTCATAATATTTGGAAAAGAAAATATCAGTAAGCTTTCTTACATGAATTACTATAGCTCAATCCCACGTTTAAAATGATGATGTTTATACGAATGATTAGTTAATAATTTATTTAAAATTCACCATTAGGAATTGAAAGTACTGTAATTTCTGTACATATGTTTTCAAATTTGGATTTATTTGTGCAATTATATATTTATTTACTTACCAGCTGAGTTTCTGTACCGCCTGTTATATGACTATCAGCATTTGTACTCAATTGGTGGAGCATTCTATTGTCGCTAGGCCCAGACAAAAATCTCTGTGGAATATTAAATTTGTAGCGGAATTTATAAAGTTACTTCGAAAGATGGGTATTTGTGACCTGTGGTTATTAAAGAGACCCTGCCAAGACATTGACTGTGCTGAATGAGGATTTTAGCAACGTTTTATGCATTCTGATTCTGAGTTTATAGAGAATATTTACTCAAGAACTTAGTGGTAACTTGGATATAAGAAGTCGTTCAGATACATTATACTGAACAATATCAACTGGGTATATTAATGTACATCATTCGTCTGTTCATATCTTTTCAGAGTTTCTATATAATATTTTATTGTCACATTCGTAGTAGTCACTGTGTGACTCACTTATTTACAGTTTGCGTACAAATCACTTATATATAGTCAGTCCAATAACTGAAGGTGACGCTGAGAAATACAAATCAATGTGTAGAGTTGAAAGTTTATGTGTTCATTGAGAAACATGGTATACTGAATGAATCGTCAAGATGAAATGGTTACTCAGAATCGTTCAATGAGATATTTTCTCGAAAGTTAGGCTTATTTTCTTATCCCCACGGTGATAAGAAAATAAATATTAACTAAATGTAGCAGAAATTTATGTCGTTTAGTTTTCAAATTAACATGACCTCTTTTTTATTTGTTTGCACTCTTTTATATTTAACGCTGTTAGATTCCTGACGCTTTATTATATCCTATGTAGAGCGTTTAAGCAATTTAACCTAATCGATTTTAGATCCTTTTAAGTTCGCGGCTCACCAGCTGCCTATGAGATGCCAAATGGATAAAACTTGGGTAGTTTCTTTCGGTAATCGATTCCCTGAGGGATGATCTTGCTGAGTAAAAGTGTTCATTGTTTTATCCATGCGTAAAATAACTAGCAGCCATTTTCTTCTGGTGGCCTGCTCGAAAACTTCTTCCTTCAAGGCAGAAACTTCATGAACTTTACGTTAAGTATTGTCACGTAGTTATAGTAAAATCTCTAAGACTATTTTTAACCATAAGATCACCAACAATAACTTCTCATTTTTAACATACTCACGTGTTTGTGATAGTGTCAGCCCTAAACACAAAGTAATTTAAAATTATAAAGCATGGTTAACGTTATTGAAATCTTTTTATAGAAAATAAATTAACATTACAAACTTCAAATGTAACAATGAAATTAAATGTTACAGAGAAATGGCTTAAATAACAAAAATGCAGGCTCTGCACAAAAAAGGGGGTGGGCGACATTTCTATATCTACCGTTCTACTGGGCCAATTGACGAAATTGACTTAAATTATTCATGTCTTTCCACCAAACATTTCTAACTGCTTTAAAGATGACTGGAATCCTTCAATTAGATATTTTGCCTTTTTGAATCAACTATATGTCGCGATAAAAGTTTTTCTTTGGTTATATAAATCAAAAATCCTTGGTTACCAGTACCTTTATACACTTTTTTCCAGAAGCTTTGTAATCTTAGGATATACATTAGATTTATATATAGCATTGTTCTGACATACGTATACTATATAAAGCATTGTTCTGACATACGTATACTATATAAAGCACTGTTCTGGCATGCGTATATTGGCACGAAATCGGACATTTTCTGAAATGACATACATATCGTTTGCATATTTCGATTCTACAACTCAAATTGCCTAGGTTTGTAAAAGTCGAACAAGCAGATTTTTTAAAAAAACGAGATCTCAAAATTTTAGCTTCCCAGTGTTAAATGAATTTGATATATATTTATTAGTGTCCTTTTCTTAGATATTTTCTGATTTTTTTTACATTTGTATTTTTTAGTAATTTTTAAAAAAATTTCGAAAACTTTTTAAAAACTTATAAAATTTTACCATCACCTTAAAGTAGATGTATTTCTAGGCATACCGGCAAAAAATTAGAATTTCTTTTTTTTCCAAAATTTCACAAGATGTACATGAATTTATATACTGGTGCATTTTGAAATTTCACATAATTCTTATTGGTGATAATAACGCAAAACTTGGTTTGCGCACTTTGTTAAAATCACTTGAAAGAATGAATTACACCCCTTTTTTTCGTTCGTGCATAAAGAAAAGGAAAGGAAAATAGGTTACCATAAATTAAGAATTTCGCCATTCTTGGCGCAAGATGAAAATGCACGCCAGAGTAAATTTTTAAGTTTCTAGGTAAGTTTCTCATCAGTTAGTAAAACGCAAGTTAAATTTCGTCAATTGGCCCAATAGAACGGGGTAAATGGAACTATCCTATTTTTTTTTCAAAGGTGTACCTTGATAAGTCTTGCATCAGAGTTGACAGAACGCTAATTTGTCTCGTTAAGGTAACATTATTTTCCACTAAACATTTCTAATTGCTTTAAAGATTACTGGAATCCTTCAAATAGATATTTTGCCTTTTTGAATCGACTATATGTCGCGATAAAAGTTTTTCTTTGGTTATATATATCAAAAATCCTTGGTTACCAGTACCTTTATACACTTTTTTCCAGAAGCTTTGTAATCTTCTCCTTATATTGACTGGCTTATTAGAATAGAAGTGAGAAACTAGAATCTATAAATTTAATGATTTAAAATTACACGGGGGTAATAGTTTATTTAAAGGTCATTTAAATATGCAAAAAAATTTTATGCTATTATATCTCTATTTGATATTATTATCTTGTTTGGTATTTGCTTACTTGAATTTCTCAAATGTGTTATATTCATGTAAACAAACATTTTTGAAAATAATAGAACTAAAATCTTTTATGAGTGTAACACTTACGGTGAATACAAGTTTTAATGCTTTAACTAATAGCCAAATTAATGACACCAAATTACTCTAATTTTTAAGAAAAATAATTACGAATGTAATTACATAAGTTCTGAAAATATTTAAGGAGTCCGCAAAAAAGCTCTCTTTGTGAACACTATTAATTTCTAATTTTGTAAAGACAAATTAAATTCAGCGTAAATTCAAAAGAGTAATATAAATACATTATTGAATTTGATGTCTGAAAAAGCTCTCATTTTTTTAAATAAGTGGCTGTGGTACGAAAGTGGCTTTTTAAATAAATAACTGAATAAGCTGTGATATTTTTAAATGGAATTAATCTCAACATTAAAGAAATATATTACGGTATATTATCCTTAGACTGATTCGAAATGTCTCCCTAGGAAAATATTAGGAAAAAAAGGAATTGAATGGATTTTTCCAACATTAATATTTTTTAATTTTCTCAATAGAAATATTTCCGTTTTTATTAAAAAATCTGCATATTCCCCGTTCTTCTACGTGGAGACGAAGAGATGAGGGCAAAAAAGGGTTTTGGTACATTGCACAAATAAATCATTGAACTATGAAAATACAACTCGTTGAGGCATGGATAGGGTATTTCTTTTGTTAGAATGTAATTAGTATTTTCAAATACTTAAAAGTAAAATATTTTGTAACAAACGAATTCAGATTTTAAATAATTATTTGTGATAAATAATAAGCTACCATCATATTGATTTGAAAGTAACTGTTCTATTAAACTTAATATGTTTCACAAACAATAATCAATCAACAAATGGACTGTAATTCCTACACTTTTATTAAATTACACTTATCAGCGATGCAAAATAATTGATACAAAATAAGCGAGCCATTCTACATGGCTGTCACAAACACAATTCTATCAATCAATTATCTTGTTGCCACACATAAAGTTCTAAACTAAAGGAAGAAAAGCAAAAGGAATTTACGCTGTTTGCAACAATAAAATGAAGCAAACGATACTCACATAAACATCCTGGCCCTCGTTGAAATCCCAGGGGATTTCAACAGTTGGAGCATTTTGAAACGTCTTAGTCTGTAATAAAGATAAACATAAGAAAAAAATAATACAAATATTATATCGAAGCAGAAGCAGTTCATAGTTTTTAGTCTGAATAGGAAGAGGACACAATTTCACGACTGGTCGTTTTATGACACCATGACCAGTTTTAATACTAGCAACTCTGACTCTTTGATCTGAGCCCGGATGAACAGCAATTATTCTCCCTAACCTCCATTTAAGAGGCGGAAGGTTGTCTTCTTTGATGAGGACTAAGTCATTGACTTCTAAATTGTTTTGACTTTTTGCCATTTAGGTCTTTGTTGAAGCTGAGACAGGTATTCTCGACTCCATCTTTTCCAGAAGTGCTGAAAAAAATAAACTGTCTCACATGCCATCTGTCAATGTGATTGAAGGAACTATAATTTAGGTCTGGTTCAGGTATGGCAGTTAAAGACGTTCCTATTAGGAAATGACCAGGTGTTAATGCAGTTAAATCATTTGGATCAGCCGATGTTGGACACAATGGCCTAGAGTTGAGACAAGCCTCAACCTGCGCTATCAAGGTCTGAAATTCCGGATAG